AAAAAAAAAAAAAGTTGAAACTGGGAGGCTAACCATTCTATATTAACTAACTACAGCTGGAACTCCAACTTATTTACTGAAAAAGATTGTTCAAAATCTGAACATATTTCTTCCCTGTCATTCATTCCATTCATTCCATGGGCATTGGACTTAGAGCCCCTTTTGGGAGGGAGGGGTGAGGATTAGATACCAGGAGGAATGAAACATCATCCGTAACTTCAAGAAACTTAAAACCTGCTTACTTCTAAGCCAAACACATTTGCTAAGTCTTCTTTCTTCTTTGACTCTTGGATTCCCTCCATTCTTTCCCTCTCTTTATGTCCTCTGTTTTACCTATACACTGTTCATTTTTGTCACACTACACAAAGTTGTCACATTTTCTCACAATCAAGATTTTTAAAGTTATGTGACTCTGACAATCACCTCACCTTAGAAAGGAGCCTCAGCTTTCTCTATATGTAAAACACAGAAATTCTTGATTCACAGAAATTCACTGATTAAACCTGAAGATTTTCAATCCCCAGATCTACACTTTTATGAAGGTGCTCCTAACACAAAATAAACATTAAAATTTGAGGTGAATTCCACTTTTTTATCCCTTATCCCTTTCTTAGCTGAGAACAGACTTTTGGATCTACAGTATTTGTGAGATGAGCAATAATACTCTTTCTCCTTAACAAGTCTCAAGGCTATTGTTTAGATGTCTGACTTAACCTGTTTCCATCCACACTCATCATATCCATCCTCAATACTGCTATGAGAGTGACCCAAGACAACAGAACTATTTTTCCTCTGACTAAAAAACTTCAGTGACTAGTCATTCCCCATAAACAATGCTCAACTTCCTTAGTATGATTGTTCCTACTGTGGCCATGTTTATTTTTCTAATCTTATTTCCCAGTGTAACACCTCGCACCCTCCAGTTAAGACCAAACTGTTCGCAGTTCATACATTCATTACATTCATTCTGCCAGTATTTTACTGAGCGTAAATTATACATCAGCCCCTGTGCTATGCTTAGGGAATCCCAAAGTAAACAAGGCAGATATGGCCCAATTTCACAGAACTTACAGTCGAGTTTATAAAGGACTCATACTGCTGTTTATGGTACTCTCCAGCCTCCCAAACGCCTGGAGCATACTACTTACATTTCAGACTTTAGCTCAAGGCTCAAGTCTTCTATGAAATCTCTTCTGACTACCGCCCCTACCCATGTAGAAGAAGTGACCACCCCCACTGCACCTCACACGCTGCCATCCAGGCTTATTTAGCTCTTTATTATAATGATGCATTTACTAACCTAACCTCACCAAAATAATGCATAATGAATATGTGTCTTATTCATCTTTGGAATGACTGAATGGTCATGGAAACAGACACTATGAAGACCTTGGCCTGGCTCACAGAAGTACCTAGACTACCTACCTAGAAATAAAAGCCTGAAGGAATTCAGTATTTTATTTTTGCAAAAACCAAAAAGTCATAAAAACCCTTCTTTTTCAGTTCTTTCAAGTCATTGTCTAGACTGCAAGTCCCTTAAAGTCAAGAACCATATATTACTAGCTCTGTTCTGAGCACATATTAATTATAAAATACGTATTTGTTGAATATATTCTCTGGATCTACTATTCACAACTACTAGGACATAATACTGTTCTTATTCTTTATTGTACAATAATAAAAGCCCAGACAGACCCTGTGAAAACAATGCATTCCTAAACACATGTAGTATATGTCAGGAGTCTTCAATTTCTTCTTAGTAATGACTTCTATTTTATACCTAAGTTAAAAAATATATTATTTACATATGAGACAATCTAGAGAGGACAAGGGAAGTTAAAGGAGAATCAGGGAGAAAGCCTGCTGGTTTTGTAGTGCAGAGAGAAATAATGTAAGGACTGTTCCTCATACTATAGTGCTACCCAAAAGTTCAAGAGCTATAAGGAAGAAGTCCTGTCAACTGTCAGCCTACAATCAAATGGATCAGTCATGAAGATCAACAATCATATCACAAATAATTGGCCAGGAAATCCACCTAAGGCATTGATGCCATATAAAAGACTCCTTAGAAAACACTATAATACATTTCGCCTGTGGCTTTAAATTATATGACAGTAAGCAGAAGTCACAGCTTTCGTAGCTTTTATAAAAACTCTTTTTTAAACAATCCTAATCTCTCACTACTTCACTCCAATTAATATAAACGAGGCATGGATTCAAATTATAACTTCGAAAACCTCGTTTGTGAAATGTGGTTGGAAATAGAATTATACCTCATCAAATAAACAAACATACCATAGAGGGCCTTTGCACTTGTTCTTGAACCGTGTTCTCTGTCCATTTGGGAAAAGGTGGGTGATGATCCGTAGCCACTGTAATAAAAAATGGTCATGGTGCAGGGTTAAAGTCCAAAGTAAGCAATAAAAATTCAAAACGACAAATAAAAATTCCAAGGTACCATAATCACCGTGAGTTTTTTAAAAACATACAGAGTTAATGATACCTAGGCGTCAAAATGAGCCAGATCCTGCTCTGGTCAAGAAACAGAACATGAATGACACTACCCTGATGTAGACTGAGGCAGATGTAAATTATAGCCATGTCTTAAACTTGAAGGCAGAACCTTAGCCAAAAAGATTCAATAAGGTTGAAACTATCTTAGAAGAGTTTAAGAGTGCCATACTAAATCGAGTTGTGAGCAGTGATCCAGTTATAAAAAGTACTAAATGACTCAATTTACAATGGAACAGACATTATTTTCATAAAAATTTAAAATGCAAAATAACACTTTATCAATAAATTTGACCAGCTTTGCCCTATTTCTAGCCTCCTGTTACTAATATGTTAGGTGAAGTAAACATATTATTTGAATTTTTAAAATTCATTCAGTAAACATTTATTAAACCCTAAAATCTAGAAGAATAAGGATAATGGCAGGGGACAGGGTTCAGCTAATAGAACAAGTAAAACAGTTACAACAGAATGTAACATCTGGATAACACTAATAGATTTCATCAGGATGTCCAAAAACACTTTACCGCCAAGTTGGCATTTCAGCAGAATATAAAAGTTTGGAAAGAAGCTCTACAGATGGGTGGAGAGTTAAGTGAGGAAAAGGCATGCGGAATTGGCTCAAAGACGAGCCTGGTGTCCAAGGGAAAAAAAAAAAAAAACGTATCTAGTGGGGTATGCATAGAAGAGAGGAATGGCTTCAGACATACAGAAGGCAGACAGAGGGCTTAAGAAATAAGAATTAAGTTTTTATTCTCTAGATGGAGTATGTATATATTAATACAGGGAAGTGACATGATCAAAAACATTTTTAAAGAAAATAATCCCAGAACTAATGGCAAGGTAACCACGTAGAGGGTGCTGCAAAAATTACGGTAGGAAAAAGGGCCTTAAGTAGGGCTAGAATAGAAAGAACAGAAGAAAGGGACAGAAATAAGAGTTCCCTAATAGAAGAAAATGTTATAAATTCACGATTAAATGGACATTTGTTGTAAGAAGAAGGAGGAAAACTGAGAATGTGGTCAAACTTTCTGGCTTGCATAACTGATGGACAAGGTAAACATGGCACCTGACAATACTCGCCTGGTGTCTCTTACTGGCCAATTATAAAGAGATTTGCAATAATCTTTACAGAGAGAAAAGATGAAGTATAACTCTTTACAAAGGGAGTAACCTGTGAATTCTGAAAAATGACTGTATACCACAATGGCCAGTAGAAAATAACAACAATATTAACCATGATATATAAGGGGATGGCAACTTAAGCCAGGGTTGTGATTTCAAATTATACCTGAAGCCACAGGGATAGTTCTGTTTGCTTGTCTGGTCTTTTTATTTGGTTTACGTAGTGATAAGTATTCTGACAGATTGGACTAAGAGACCTTTAATTCTCCTCAAATGCCAATACTTTATAAGTCAAAATAGTAGAATGCTCCAGAGAAACTGAAAGCTCTGAAGCAAAGAACATGTTTAACTATGGAAAACAATAATACATAAAATACCTAGAACAAAATGTCTTCTATTTGATCACTGTCATTGAGGTTGATGTTACTTTACCATCTTTTTCTTCCTAGACACAGTAAACTTTTAATACTATCATACCTTAGTATTAGAAAGAGATTAAATATTAATGAGGAATAAACTACATAAATAAGTGGAGCTAGCTAGTCCTTTCGTTAGAAACATAAAACAAAGCCACCAAATCAAATCCAAAAAGATCCCCAACAAATTAAATATAAATCTTCCAACCTACTTCATTTGAGATGGATACATTCCAAAGCCACTGGGATGATTAGAAATATGACCATTCATTGTGGTTTTCACTCCTCTGTTCTGAAAAAAGAAAGGTACATAGATTAAAGGTAATAAAAAGGTCAAGACATTCCAGTTTCAAGTTATTCATTCAACAAATACAGTCACTGCCAGGATGATGGCAGAAATATGAAGATAAAGATCTCCACCCTCAAAGAGCTCGCGCACCAGAAGTACAGAGGGACACAGAAAAAAAGATTCAACTGGCATTTAACATTATGTACTAGAATTATAAGCACATTTAGGTGAGTAAAAGAAAAAATCTAAAATATAGTTCCAAATGCTCTACATATATAGGCTTAATTGTACATTCTGCTCAAACTCATAATCAAAGGTCAGTTTTATGATGTTTTAGATGTTACTTTGTGTATTGTTTCATTAGGAAAGTAATACAGGTTCATTACATTAAAAAACTTGAGAAATACAGGGAAGTACAAAATACAGAAAGGCACAAAGGGGAAAAATACCACCCAGAGCCCTACCATTTAAAGATAACCATTTAACAGTCTGTCAATTTCCTCCAGACTTTTTCCTGCATCTACTTTTCTTCTTTCTCCCTTCCTTCTATTCTCCCTTCCTTCAAAGCACATTTGACATCTTATACATACACACTTGGATACACCTTTTTTTTTCCAAGAAGGTATCACTTACATATTCCTTCCACTTTTCACGAGAAAGCAATTTTTATTTATTTAT